GATTTATATTTCTTTTTGAATCCATCTCATGTGGTTTCGTGATTAAATGAGGCAAGATACAAGACGATGATAATGATGGCGACGTTGAGGATAATAATACAAATTATGGATATTCTCCCTTCTCATTATAAATCTGAATATTCCTTCTCCTCGCTCTCTCTCTCTCTCTCTCTTTCTGTTATTTAATGACTTTAAAAGAAAAAAACAGAAGACTACTTGTAATTATATCAGCGTAGTATATTTTTGCCATGACCAGTTAAAAATATTTATTTCTATAACAAGAATTTCATTACTAAATAGATTTACCACACATTATGAAAAAACTATTTACATGATTATTTTGTGTTAAAGCTTATCTGTACTAGTTTATAGGAGGGATTATACCACTCTGCAAGGTTACTGGACAGGTGGTTATCCCATCAACTCAGCTCTCAATTCACATAAGAAAGAGAGGATAATGGGGATCAACGGTCACCGATTGGTCATTGTTTTTTTTATAAAGAGGGAGCAAGTAGCTACAAGTAGGACAGCGTGGATTATAATTGTATTCAGTTCATGCTAAATATATTACTCATTGCGGATTTAGTATCGAAAATAATATCGCTAGTGATACTCGTTTGTCTCGCAATGTATGGTCAACAAGGGATCTCAAAAATCACGACGGCAGTTCGTACGCCGCTGCAACACTTCGTAAGGTGATAAAATATATTGTAAGAAAGCGTGTTTTTTACTCTACTGGTGGGCCGTCGGTCAAATAATTCGATCCGTTATTGTTCTAATTATTGATCGAATTATTTGACCGCCGGTCCACCCGTAGAGTATAAAACACGCTTGCTTACAATATAGTTTATCACCTGACGAAGTGTGGCAGTGGCGCACGAAACGTCGTGATCTTTTTGATCCCTTGTTGACCATACATTGCGAGACAAACGATTATCACTAGCGATATTATTTCGATTTTATTCATTCTTCCAAGCATAACAAACAATATTATAATATATACAACATGACAAATATACATAGTAAGCGAAAAAGCGGAAACTACAGAAAAGTTTATAAAAAATGGTACAGAGTAGTTCCCAGTAGAGGTAAAAATACATGGTATAAACAAAAGCAATAACAAGATACACAATTATATATGCCTGTGTAGTGTGTGATTCCTGTGATCAGTTTTCGTGTGCTACTTTTAAACATTTTCATTTTGTGTAAATCTTCCTTCATATTATGTCCTCTCCCTTTGTGTAATTCAAGTTTATTTTATCTTTTGTATTCTGTTTGTCTCTATGTTTTTTTCCCACCCAATCCCCAAACCCAACCAGGAGGAAACATTGTTGTCTTCATTCAAGAATTAAGAAATGAATCTTTGCAAAAGTGAACGCTTAGATATGATCCATTATATATTGTTATATTTTATAATGTTTTTCATTTCCCAAGTGGAGTAACATTAACTCTTGGTATCACTGTATGAAGTGTAGCGTCACCTCTTAGTAAGAAAACATGATATGAGAGATGAACCACTCCTATAAGGTTGAATGTAAGCAGCGAGAGAAACAACCCAAAATATATCAGCTTCAGAGGTAAACAAACACATTAAGAGTAGTTGCTTGAGAGTCATATTAAGATACTACAACAACCACATTAAAAAAAAATCAAATGTACTTATTTAGTATGGCATGTGTAATGGTAATATATATTAGTTATCATTGGGAATATATCGACGAAGACCATCTATGTAGTTTCTATTGACAGTTGAATTCGATTTTCAACTCTCCTAGCTTAATCCCGCAATACAGCCACCAATTATCTTCTTAGTCTCAAATGCATACATTTACTGCATGGCACGTACCATAACATGTATATTTCTTGCTTGTAAATATTACAATTGGAATGGCGTTGAAAAACGAAAAGCGTTGAAGATTTTATGTTTTGGTGGAAATAGATGATATAAAATAAACGAAATGAAATATCAATCAGAAAATTTAATAAACGAACTAAGCTACACATGTAGTATAATAGTATAGATGTTCTAACTGATATTCGAGGCATAACTGTTTCTATACAGGCTCAAGAGGACGATACATCCTGCTATGACCCCGAGGCGCGCCGCGGCGAGGTAACGTTCGCGAGAGCCAGTATAGAAACAGATATGCCTCGAATATTAAAGCAGTCCATAATATATCTTTTGTAGTAGTAAAATGGTTTTATTAGAACAACTGCAAAAAGGTAGCCCAAAAGCTAAACTACATTGCAAATTTTACAAGCTCAGTTTTAAAAATCATTTCATTTACATTAGACATAGACAAGTACAAATAATACTCAGTAAAATAGATCATAACTAATTACATATTCCATAATTGCATACAAATTGATGATACAAATAAAAAAGATTCATCATTATTATTATTTTTGTAATCATTGTTAAGTTAATATTCATATTTTAAATAGAAATTGAGGCTGATTAACTGAGTTTATGACAAGTAAATACTGAAGATTTGTTTGATTTCGAACCGTTATAAAATGCAAATTGAATTTATTCATAATACTACACTATGACGATTATCATAGAAACATGATTGAACAATACCGAAAGAGAGAGAAAATGTCAGGGAGAGAACGATTTAAAGAGAGAGGGTTAAGTTAGAAAGATGCGGAAGATGTTAGAGAGAGAGAGAGAGAAAGAGAGGGAGTGGTATGAGAAGAATGGAACAGCTGGAACTGTGAATACATGGAGAAGAGGAATGATGATGAAAGTAAGACGACAACTAGAAAGCGATTAGAAATTAAAAAGTGATTTACAAACTTTCAAAGACAGTACAATTTACCAATTAAACATGATACATTATTATATACATTGTAAACCGAATTCACAAAATATTCTACAAAGAATTCTTGCCTTATTATCCTTTTCTGGAGTAATGATTTGTACATCACAGATAATTTGAGACACTGTCTGTTAATCTTCGCTAGAAATTTGCCTGAATTTTACGGGCATGGCTAAAGTCACGACTCCAATTTCGACCAAATAGATGACTACATTTATTCAACATACTAAAAAGAGGTGTATAATACATTGTGTATGCTCTAAATCAATAGCAACAAAACGATTTCTGGAATTGAAAAAAGAGAATGAAATACAAATCATGAAAAGTAAAAAGAGCCCAATACAAAGCATCGAAAGAGTTATCTGCCCATACACGTGCGTTTGCAGAGATTAAAATAAACCAGTAGCTTCACGCGTCGATCCACTCGCCTTTTCTGAAGTTTATTGCCAAGACTAAGCACTGCAGAGAAAGAGAGGGGAAATGAGACATATAAAAAGGACCACTAATAATTGAATTGTGCCACTCTTGTATGGTGTGTATCATTAAGATATAACGCCTGCATATGCTTTCAACATTCCACATGGTACAGTTTCATTTAGGAAGAAATAATGAATATCTTTCATGACATTGCTTATCTTAACTATTCAAATTTGAAGAAAAAAGGAAAATGAATTACAAAGAAAAAAAAATTATTAGTAAAGATTTTATGTTAAGGAATAATTGATTTTGTTCAACTTTTATGTCAAGTTTAATGAGATTTCAGATTTCCGGTTAAGATGAAGATTAATGTTTAAGCTTCCTAATACTCTTTATGTCAACCTAGAAGATTAGCCAAGTAGAAATGTCCCCTGAACATGATTGCTCTTAAAGTGCCCCCGTATTCAGCAGATGACTAGTAATAGCCAGGGTGTTTGGACCAAACAGTCAAGACGAATGTGCGTGTAGTCCCATAAACCCATTTCCGTGTTAGATTTAGTGATAAGCGCATTGAGAGACTTTCCTGTCTATGTGCAATGTTAAATTCCATCTTTATTAACGTTATCATTATTATTATTTATTATTATATGTATTATCATTATTTGTATTATTGTTATCATTATCGTTATTAATTTCATCATTTTAATCATCGTTATCATTTCTAGAACTATCATAAAATAATGATCATTAATCAACCATTCACAATGCCATTTGTTGTATGACACCAGTATTCAGCTGTATATCTCAAAGGACTTACTGGCCGTTCTTAGGGTTTTCCTGAACTTCAGCCTGGTCTGTTGAAGGGTTCACCTTTCTAATACAAGACAAAAGGTAAGAGCGATAAGAAGTTTGAGGATGTAAGAAAAAGTTAATGAAGATGAAGTATACGAACAAACAGGACAATATTAAATAATTATGTGATGTGGTCGAATGAAGCTCGTCACAATTGTACAAAACTTGTTCAGGGTGACCATTTGCATCCTTTGTGGACCCAACAACCTAAACTTAACACTATACCCTATACTTTAAGGGAAATATTATTCTGATTTGATATAAAGCTTGATACACTGACGATGTGTCTACAGGGCTAAGCAAACAACAAAGATTCAACCAGTTGATCCAACCGGACACCTTTCAGGTTTCTATTTGTTGCTATAGGACGTTACGGCCTGGCTATGATTCGAGCTCTCAACCTTTGGATTGAGAGACATGACAAGTTAATGAACCACTATACCATGACACATCCACAAATGTCGGAGCACCTTTGAGACGCCCTGTACAAGGACACACAAATGTAGGTATAGCTGAAATCCCATGATAGCAAAGATTTCTTGACAGTTAACCTAAATCAATGTCAATAGCCCTGTCAATCAATTATTAACACATGCGAAAATTACACGTAATACGTGATCCCAATATGGTTTATATTGGATGTACATTATGGTATACAAATTGTCTGCAGTTGCTTTTTTGAAGGTGAGCGCTATTTTGAAGGTCATTGCTATTATGCTGACAGTGCTTTTTTTGTTTCTTTGGCGCCAACAAACAAATGTTGCATACCTGCTCGACGGTGGACGTTTCTTTGGTCTGCAGATCAAAATGACGACTAGCACGATCACACCGATCGGAATCACCGTTCCCCCATATATTCCGATGATCGCAGGCCTCGTAAGAACTGTAGAGGAAGAGGAAATTATTTACCTAATTCTTGACTAAAAAACTTGATGCATAGATACACTAAGTACAGTTAAGCAAGAAGAACTTAAGAAGTTCTAAAATTTGTATTTTATCTGTAAGACGGTATAAGGAAAAACAAACCCCATTATTTAATGTATAACTTAATTGAAGAAACTAAAAATTTAAAACTAACATACAAAAAATGTTATTCTACCTCCTCATTATTATTATGGGAACATACTATGGCAGTCTTTATATTATAAAGATATTTAAATTATTTACAACAGCTCCAACATAGAGCAGGAAGAACTATTCTAAAAAATAAAGCCTCAATTAAATATTATGTTACTTCAATGCATGAATTCCTGCTGTTGGAGACTTTGAAACCTGGCACGAAATTCCATATCAGTGTAATTATGTTTAAAGTCCTCAATAGTGTGAATTCAAATTGTTTAACTGAAAACATATTTTATACCCTAACATCTTATTAGCTACGCTACATTAATATTTCGCCAAACAAACAACTGCAAACACCCTTTTTCTATTGGGATGGGGGAGAGGGATGGGGAGGGGGAGGCTGACAGATAAAACAGCATTTGCTATTAAAAAAAAATTGCACATCTATGTCCTTTAAAAGGTAAGACTAAATTCTTACCAAGTGGCGTCCCTGTCCTAGAGGGCGTAGTCTTTGTCTGCCCGGATGCATCACCCATGCATGTCGGGATATCGCCATGACTCCAAGTACCATTTGATTGGCAGGTTAAGTTGACCACATGACTCAGTTCGAAGCTGGCATCGCACACGAATCTGGCCACGCCCCCTGCCTTGTAGGTCGCCACGATGGCTCTTCCTTTAGCAGGGGCGGGAAGACTTGGGCAACTCACTTAAGATAAGATAATAAAAACAAAATATGAACGAAGTGAATAAAGGTACAAGCTTGTCATTAGGCATATCAACAAAATTTGCATATGATCGAGATTAAAAAAAACAAACTTAAAAACTGAACAAGGGATACAGTCAAATATTTCCTCAAAACTAGGGCTCCATCAACGCTGAGTCAAACCCGAGCTGAAAACGACGCGTCTGTGCAATATAATCGAGTCCGGGTCTGTCCTGTGCATTTATCTATAAGTGATCCAAGGGCATTACCGCTTCGTGTGCAGCCAGCAATACGAGGCGTTATTCACTCGCGTAAATATATTACCTTAAACAGAATAATCTATGACATAGGTAATTATGAGCAATAGATATAAGGCGAGTTGCACATGAGGAAACAAACCGTATCAATTGGTTTGCCCAGCGAGTGAGTGTGTATTGAATGGTGGTAAATTAGTAAAGCCCGTTGCACACACTCTTACAATGCATAAGGTCTATCCGGTAACGGTAAACGTGATGGACCTCATACCAGGGGCGGATCCAGCCGGCGGCAGGGGAGGGGGCCCAATTCGTGAGAACATATTTAGCGGCGAAACAACCGACCGATAATTCACTCAGATATTTTGTGGGGTCCTCGTAATGCTGCTATGTGTAGTTGCACACTTAATTTTATTTTGCTGACGGAAGACATCGTTATTGATTGGTGCGATCTTTGACATGCTTTGTGAGAGTGAAATCATAACAAAAATATTATTTGTATAAGCTGATATTTCGCGTACATATATTTTCGGAAATGACAGGCTAAACAACATTTTCCCGAGCCGTTGCTTTCGCAAAAAAGACACAATGAATAGGCATGACGTATTCACAAACTCACTCACGCCAACACATACACACTCACAGACTCAGTACACGAAAGTATACACACACAAGGGCTACAAACGAGTGAAAGACTTTTGAAAAATAAGAACTTCCCCACTTGCTATCGCAGAAAGTAGAATCACCGGTGCAAGTGCAATCGCTGCTACACACTAATACGCGCGCGCTGTGTAGAATGCTCAGTGAGTATGGACATGCAAATGGCGTCGGCGATAGAAAGAGCGCAAGCACATAATGTTATGCTGATAATTTCGCGCTCCTGAAAGATCAGGTGGCAATATTTTCGCGCGTTGATAAATTTGAGAAAATATGCAAATCGCGGAATTCAGAAAAATAATATTGTTTACAGTAGTTTAAACCCTGCTTCGAATTACTGATAAATGGCCGTTTCTTTTCTTGGTTAAGGATGGTTAGAGCAGGTAATGACGAGAACGATATGACGCCTCATGCGCAACTGGCAATCTTGCAGTAGGTTGTGATAACCTTGCGTCAAGAAGTTGCGTCTGTACCTAGAAGCTCTGTCGTAATGCATGGAGGAATGTGATTGGTGCAATAAAATGAGGTTTTATGAGCAACTGGTACGAAATTGTAATTTACCGAACGATGCTCTGTTGTCAACTGCCTGCTGATACTGCACGAGGGACTTCACGGTATTCTGTGCAAAACTCTGCGACCCCGTTGTCTGGTAGTCGAAGATACAGAACGGGTTCGTACCGCAGACTTCTACCACAAGGCTCTGGTCTACAGAAGGGTTGGCGACAGGCTCAAAGACAGGAATGTAATGGCGGTTGGTATGAAATTCGTGGTCCTTGCCCGGTTCGTAATAGAACACTGATTTTGCGGCACCGATTTCCCCTGTGTTGAAGTAAAAGGGAATGACCAAGAATGCAGACAATTATTATTCTAAGACAAACATGCGTGTTCAAAATCGGAAGCACATACGCTATGGAGGATATCTAATTAATCATCTAATAATTTTGGAGGGGATGGTTTTGCACCCCCTAGTAATAAGGAGAAGGCCGATTTCTCTTAGATATAGAAACGTTGTATCATCCGCTCCATCTGGCTCACGTGCATAGAACAAATAAGCATTTTTGAATGAAAAAGTGAAGTTTAAAAAAAAAAGCGTTTCTTTCCAGCATTGGAGTTCCCGGGAATTAAGCAATGGTCACAAATCAGAGCGGCGACCGACCGATTTGTAGCCTGCTCGGTCGCCGCTAGAATTAAGGCATCGCCCAGCGATTTTTAAGGAAGAAAAAAACTGGGCGAAATCGGGGTACGGGCGGCGTCCTGGCAGTGATCGACGAATGACCCACCGATCCCCGAGCGGTCTTCCATCAGCCACCGGCTTATTTTTAAGAAATTGCCCGGCGGGCGGCCGGTGATCGGCGGGGCACCAAAAGCCGCTAGGTCAAAGGCTGCCGACCGATTTTGAACTCGCAGCCCAGTGACTGACTGATCTCTCACCGGCGTTCGGGAGGCAACCGCTCTGCAGCCTTTGACCTGAATCGCTCGACGGCGAACGTTCGATTAGGTCGGTGGACGGGCGGTGAACGCCCGGGCACCGAGTGTATTTTTGGCGGAGCGATGCCCTAAAAGAAGCAGTTTCCAGGCGACCTCCGCTCGATTCCCAGGCGAAATTGGTTAAAAACTCGCCGCCCGGCCGCCGAGCACGCTACATTTTGAGGTTGTGACCATAGGTTGCTTAATCTCTCAACAATTAAAATACATACAAATAATATGCACTTTCCTTGTTCCGGCAAAAGTACAGAGAAAGTGCAAATTATTTGTATGTCTTATAACATTGTAATCGCGCTGCGTGTCGTGTCTATTTACGTTGGAGAAGGGCAACATAGCGAGTTTCAATTGCACTTCGGCCGCTCTCGCTAGTCCTCACTCGCTCCGGTCAGGAGGCTTTATGGTAAGCGGCTAATGAATATACCAATTGTTTAAACTGGCTTGAATTGGTTGCATACTTTTGTCGGAACTTACTTATTCACATAATGGAACTACATGCCAGATGAAGCAAGTGGTCCGTGACCAAAGAACTGTAAATATACGTAGAAGGCTCATAGTGGTTTGAAAAATGTTGCCAGCGCTCGTATGTGACATCCGCCCTCTTCGTTAGTCATCTTGTTGTGTTAGCCGCTTTTTTTTTGTCAACGACAGGCCAGGCTGAAATTGTTTAAATTTATGAGCTGACAAGATCGAGGACTTAGCAAAATGGCGGCGTGTGTACTCAATGCGAATCTCCCAGCACATTCAACGACCGCATGTCGATCTGTGCATTGCGAATGGGGATGAGCGTTCTACGTATTTTACAGTTCTGTGCCCGTGACCCCTGCACTCAACACCATTTGTTGTGGCCAACTTCTTTTATGAGACAAATCCAAGCAAGCGTTTCAAAACGAGGTGATGAAATAATTTGTGAGCTGTTTTAACCTTTGTTTTAATGGTCATTTTTAACAGTATCATACGTTTAATAAAAACGGACACACTCGAAAAGGATTGCTAATGGACCAATAAAATTAATCTGAATCTGAATCTGAATCTGAATTAATGAAAAGTTAAAGCAAACAATATTGTGAAATATATATGTGTAGTCCCAAATGCCAATTTTGGAGTGCAGTGCATGTGAAGTTTGTATAATTATAGTGGACGCTATTACCTCTATACTTCATAAGCAACCTTTCCAAATAACTTCTAGATGATTACTTTCAAAATGTAATCACAAGACCAGAACTGAACTATATACTTAGTACCCTCACATTTGCTTGCTCTCTGTTACAATGCTATCTAGGACGGACAATGAAGACTATAAACGAATAACTTTCAGACGTCCCAGCTAAACACTTAAACTGTGTCTTAAACTGTTTAGATGCATGATCATTATTGTTAATAGCAATCCAAAATATAATGAAGAAAAGATAATTATAAACAATATTAACATATAGTGAGAGGAAAATGTTTGGAAGCAATGAATTTGATATTACATAATAGTCCAAACTGGTAGTGCAACTGCTCAGTAGTCAGATCAGGTGAGAGGATAGATCCCTGAGGAGTTAGGAAATCGTCACTGGCATTACCATTCCACGTTCCCATCAACCCTTGCGTCAGACCCAGGAAGGAGTCTGGAGCTACGAGAAAAATGCTCATTGCTCCTTCGAATGCTTTTATATTTAGCCCTACCCCTCCGTCAAAAGATACAATGATTCCATCTGAGGTAATGTTGCGACCGGTTACCGAGACCCCTAGAAAAGCGAATAGAAGCAAAATGATGGACACAAAAGAACTATGCCTGGTATTGACTAGCTTATCGTAAAATAATTGGTATTTAAAGCAAAATATTAGAGTAAAAACAGATTTAAGGATCCAGAACATTATAGTTCTGCACATTGTGAGATTGCTCAGTGGTCTGTGATTGAAAAAAATATTCCTAAAGCTTGGAGATTCTTAGTTCGAAGATACATCTTAATTTTCAGTGGTGTGATATTCCTCATTACCAAGTCTTTCAACTGTTGAACTGACATCGATCTCTTGGTCACGTATCCCCTACAGAAAATGAACTGCTTTCTCAGCATCTTCTTGGTAGGAAGAAGAGGGTACAAATTTGTAGGATTCATATCTGAATTAACATAATTCTTACCGCATGACATAAACCAAAAAAAAAGAGGTTTATTTGATAGACGTGATATGCTCTAAGCAATGTAAGCAATATAGAATAACATTGTGTTTATAACTTCTGATACCTGAATATGACCATCGAGAAGCCTGATCGAATTCAATCCTTGTGAAGTTTTGTCCATCCCCGGCTAGTCGGACATAAACATCAAGAACCCTGCGTTCATTGGTTTGAACATGAATGACATCACTATCACCAAATCGTACTGCCATGGCAACAAACACCGTTGCATCAGACGTTCCTGCAATGGAAGATACAGTAAAAAAAAATGATATGAACATTTGTTCAACTAACGGATGCAATACTTTAAACCAAATTCGGTTCAAAATAAAAGCAATAGGGTTCCTATATGTCTCATATTTAGAACCCAAAATAGTTTTTTTTTCGAGGAACTTATGTACAGGGTTCTCAAGCAAAATCTGAATGTTGTTATTTAAAGAACCTCTAAAGGTTAAAACATTAAATCCCGAAGTTTTTACATGCACTTTCCATGTATGCTTTAAAAAATAGCTTTTAAGAAGCTCTGGTCAATTTCAAGAGCCCTGAATTACCTAATTTTTGTTTTTGAAATGCTGTCAAAAAATCCGTAAAAGTCTATCAGGAATTAAAATGTTATTGTGTCTGACTAAAATCGCAGACGGAAGTAAAATTGGAATGACATCGACGTGACAAGTACATGTATTAAAACTGAAGACTAACTAAAACAATAAATGGAATATGTGTTTTACCAACGAGAGGAGCCGCTCTTGCTTGTAAGATGAAGATGTCATTCAGTGCGTTCAGCAGAGTAAATTCACCGTGGCCGTTGAAAGTGTACGTGGTCGAGTCAAGAGTTGAAATATGTGGATCGCCACTACCCAATGCTGTGTTGTGACAAAGGGAGGGGGAGGGAGGAATAAATAGAGGGGATGGGAGAAAGAGAGAGGAGAAAAGGAGAAAATGTAGTTATTGAAGGGGGAAGAGGTTTTGTGAGGTTGTCAGGGATGATTTTTTGAGCAAGAATCTATTGAAATTCACTAAACATAATATTACTTTCATGCTCTTAAGCATGGTGTATGGTGTATGGTGCATGGTGTGTGCGTGTCTGTGTTTGTGGTGGTGGTGGGGAGGGGTGGGGTGTGGGAGGGGGGTTCTTATCATACAATACTAAACCATTTATTATAATCTTTTTTATTTTCATTTTAAAATGTTAATCATTCAACCAAAGCAGATCTGTCACTGAAAGTTGAGTGGCACAGTTCATCATTACTTCTTCTTCAAGAACAAAATGTGAACTCGACGCTGCCCTAACTTCCTTATTAACTATTTACCCTTTATGACACAGGTAATTAATGCTTTAAGGTTTACGTGTTAAGGTTTACGTTTAAGTTGTTTGTAATGGAATAAACATGAGCCCTTTTTGCAGATGTTTACCGCGTCTTATGTGAACAAACTTTTATGGTAACACACAAATATATTTCCAAAAATGCTCCAATGAGTATGTCTAACTGTTGAATGGTTGAAGAAATCTCATCGTGGTTATGCGGAGATCGATAAAACTGATGCACAACAAAAATACCTAGAGCAGGCGGAACGTAGTTGTTGCAAGTTTGAGAAGGCCGTCGGCGAGCAAAATTTGTGCACTCATCTGGTCCACCGTAAGTACAGCAGTAGGTCCAGGGCAAGATGTCGACGAAGTAGTGCGACATATATGGTACCTGAATAGATGGAGTCATGTAATAACATTTATAACGTTCAAACAATAACGAACGAGTTTAGCGGGTAATAAAAACAACAAAATGGTAATAACATGAACGTGTTTATTATTAAAGCTGATACCCAGCTTTCATGTTACATATATAATAAACAACTATAAACCATAGTCGATATAGAAAGATTAACTTACAATCACTCATTCAGATGTATTGATTTGTCGATTAGGTAGAAATGATCAACGAAGTTGATCGCTGTCTGATATTTGGTCGATTTCCTTGTCGACCTATAGTTTTGCTCGAATGTCTGAAAGACGATTTCTAACAATAAAATGATGAACCATTTTCTCATTTTCTTTCGCATCATACCTATGCAACAGCTTTGGCAACTCTCGTGGAGTTTTCAAAGTTGTTGTATTGGTTTATATTTCTTAACAATTATTCAAACTTATACATGTATCTCAAAGCATTTGCTTTGATCCAGCTGAGGCATGCGGATTCTAATCGCTCGAAACGCACCTGCCCCCAACACTGGAATTTATTTAAAGAAGGTTGAAAATTCGTTAATCTGTCGGTGAATTGAATCTGTCGTCGTCGAAGCCACTGACCCGTCTCCGTGGTATAGTGGTCAAGGCATCGACTTTCTAAGCAAGTGAATTGTGCAAGAATTACCAAAAGGGAGGACAGCTGCATCGGGAACTTTGATTTAAGCTACGCGACCACTCTCGCAATGTATTATTTCCACGGGAAATATAGGTAATTTTTAACATTTATATATTATTTATACTTATGTATGATATATGTTAAGTATGTAATGTTTATGGAGCTGTTAGATGCTATTTTAGTAAAGATGTTCATCGTAAGCTCCGGGGAGAACAAATCATTATCGGCTGGGCTGCTTGCAGACGGATGGACTCAATGTCATTTTTCATTAATTTCCCCGTTCTAAACGTTTGTCTTATATCTTCACTTTTTCTCTCTTTCCCTCTTCTCTCTATTCTTCTTTTTTTCTTTCTCTCTCCCTCTGTATGTTTTCTTCCCACTTCACTGACCTGTTAATTCAGGTCCTCTGTTTTGTGCTTTCCTTTTCTGCCTCCACTTGCTTTCTTTATGACGTATTATTACGTCTTACCTTTTCCCTGCGCACTTTCTTCTTTATTTTCTGCCTTTTTAAAATTATCTCTTTATGACGTAATTACTCGTGCTTTCTCTTTACGCATCGGCACATTTTATGGATGCACATGTTTTGACGAATAACGTTTCTTACCCCTAATCCCATTGGGTTATTTTGATCACTTGAGTCCATTGGGGGGGGGGGGGGGGGGGGGGGGCCTTTTTGGCTCCCCCTCGGATCTCGGCAAATAATGTACCAATTGACTTGAAAATTGGCACAGTCGTAAAACAAGTAGGGTAGAATAAAAATGTTTTAAAAAAAAAAAAGACTTTTATTTTTTTATTTATAATTTATTCAAATTTTGAATATGCAAATTTTTGACGAATTTTGGTAAAAAATTGGGATTATCTTTTGAAATCAGGAGAAATGACAGGATTTATTCAGGTTTTCTGTAAAAATACTTTCAAATAATGTTGTTCATTCATATCCATGTTTTTTGGTAATATATATATCAGTAATTTGCATAAATTATGCAAAATATAGCTCGAGAATCAGGATATTTCTTTATTTCTTTTGTATTTCATTGTTTTTATTCTCATGTATTTTATTGTTTTGATTTGTTTTTGTTTTTGTTTATTTTAGAAGAATTTGTCTCTGAAGTGTTTGAAATAAACAAAAAACAAAAAAATAATCAAAATTATAATTCAATGTAACAATTATAACAGATCTGGGTTTACATGGCATTGGATGTATGAATCACATAGAAACGTGTACAAAATCTGCAGTTTTTTGTGACGGTCAAGCGATTATCGACCTCTAAAATCAGTTCTACATGTCCGACCGGGGTGTATTATATATCAAAATATGCAGGAAACTTGAGAGAAAAAAGTCATGAAGTTTCAACGTGAAATTGTAATCGGTCTAGATGCATGGCGAAAAAAACGACAGAGGGGGGGGGGGGGGCCTAAAAGCCCCCCCCCCCCATGGGATTAGGGTTAAAGTAAAACGAAAAAATCATTACTGGAGGGCGGGAATTTATAAAACAATTTATTCTTGCACGGAGGATCAATATTTGTTAGATTTTTGCTTGTTATCTCAAACTCCGAGCAGAAATAATACTGCCTATGTTTGTGTGTGTGTGTGCGTGTGCGTGTGCGTCGGTGGGTGTGTGTGGTTGAATTGTTCTCTACGTCGCTTTGTATAACTCTCTCCCTTTCTTCCTCTTCCTGTTTGACATAGAGTCACACCAAATGCATATTCATACAAAAATGATCATACCTTCTTAGGTGCCCCATATGGGGTGACGCCACCATGGTGGTAACGATGGTTGAAGCCCCCTCCCAGACTATCAACGATATTAATGATCATTCCATCATCACCATAGCAACACTCCTGTCCCCCTCCTAGTGAGCTGAAAAACAAACAAAGCAGACGTTGACATTTACTTTCCCCCATGCAGGATATCCATCTTAAAATCTGTACATACCTTGTTCATTTCTAACATTTTGATATTAGGACATGTCATACTTATAAAATATTGGATGGCTTGGAGAGTGATACAAGAATATATTGCTCGAACTTTGACAATAGGGACTTTTAGATTTACACGACGAGAACGTGGACCCCAACGTGTGACATCATTTTAGTGTAACGTGACGTCCTTGTAAGGCACTACCGGGCACAGCCCAGTGCATTAACTCAATGTCACACGCGGCAGTCCACGCTCTCGTCGTGTAAATCTAAAAGTCCCTAATATTGAACGAGTCTGAGACGAGTCCAATATGGTCATAGCGAGAGCAATATATTCTCGTATCACACGAAAACAAAGCCATAACATATTATTAGTATTATATATATCAAGCTGACTAGCGAAAAAAACTAAACCTGACTTACCTGGGTAAATATGGATTTTGTTTGTGTGTGTGTTATCGGTATTGTTAGTTGAAGTTCCCGGATGACTGAGCAATACGAGAACAATATTGGTCAGTAACCCGGGTAGTGCGCTAAAGAATTGAATACACTGATTTATTGTACAACTTGAAACCCTTATATAGATAATAAGTATATGATAATAGATGAATATATTGTTCGAGCTATGACAATGTTGAACGAGTCGGAGACGAGTCCAATATTGTCATAGCGAGAGCAATATATTCTTGTTTCAGACGAAACAACGCCATATAATATTATTATTATCATCTTTATCAGGCTGACTAGCGAAAATGTTTTTTCGGGCTTACCTCGGTAAATATGACTTTTGTGTGTTAGATATCGGTAGTTGAAATTCTCGGATGACTGAGCAATACAAAAACAATATTGGTCAGTCATCCGGGTACTGCGCCAGAAAAATGGAATACACCGATTCACTGTACCACTTGAAAGCCTTAAATAGATAATACTTTATTTTATTGTATGAAAAGATTAATATACTAAGAAATGAAAATGGTACAAAAACTATTAATGTCATATATAACAAGTGAAATCAGTTTATTATTAGCATGTGGGTTTCCTAAAAAATACGTCTGGCTGGAATGCTCCCAAATGAAGTGGAGTGTGTGCACATTGACATGCAGGACTGTAATTGAATCCAGGGGGGTGTTTCACAAAGAATTTAAGTTGAACTTATCTCTAAGTTAGACTTAACAATTATGGAAAGCCATTAGCATCCTTGGAAATATTTAGTAAAAGTTAGTTTAAAAGGCATAAAATGTAGATTTCAATCATTCATATTTTCTATTACCATGGGAGATTTCATGTTCTTGATATGGAATTTATGAAAAATCTAAAATACATGGATTTTTGCTTTTTAATATATTTCATTATGAGGCTACAAAATGGCTCTCCATAATATTTAAGTCCAACTTAGAGTTAAGTTCTACTTAGAATCTTTGTGAAACACCCCCCAGGTACTTTAAGCGCTTCGGTCGGTCAAGTTGTAATTGGTGAAGTGCTTTATAAGAGTTGTAAGTGGATTCGTAATGGTTATTATTAATCATGCCAATAGAGTATGGAAAAGCTAGCTCTTCCACATTAATAATTAAATATATACCTCGGTGTGTTTGTTTGTACGCAGTGTATCGCCCCAGGTTTATGGATGCAGTTGCTAGGCGACGAGATGCCAATATCACACAGCGGATGCGGACTAAATCTCCCTATGTCGATTTGGGCCTGGTCAAGTGTACATGGGCAAGGGTGCGTGACGGACAGAAAGGAAAAAATAGACCAAAATTCTCTTTCAGTCCAATCGTTGCACCAATTTATTACGTCATCGCCGTTGTGCCACTGTAGAACATGGACCTTGCTCCAGAGGGCAGCCCGGTTAGAACTAGAAGAACCCGAGAAAATAACGATTAGGGAACCAAGGAAATATTGTACAAATAGTGCACAGCAGCGAGGGCATTAGTAAAAATTACTCACACAAGGTACCTTTGGAACAGTCTAGCACGCCCGATGCGATAGCCGAAGCTGTTTGAACTGTTTCGAAGGTACCGAGTGTGGGTAATTATACTAATGCCCGAACAAAATGATGTGTATTATTTGTTTTTAAGATGATGTTTTATTTCTTTGATAAAATGCTGTCTCCCTCCCTATGATATAGACGTAATTCAATTGGTAGCGTTTTTTAAACGTCAAACAAGGCACCATCAGAAGGTGATGCAAACAATGTTAAAATGCACTAATTATGCATTCCAATTAAAATATCTCATCATTGGTTAAAATTATGTTGTTATTGGAAATTGCAATATTTATCCAAGCATGTTTTTTTTCCATTTTCTTATATTTCAAGCTTTGTCTTGTCTTACTTTTTCATTTCCCTGTCTTTTTCCATTTCGTTGTTGGTTTGTGTGTTCGTAATGTTATTCCTACTTTATATATTACTGTTCATATAACCGTATTTTATTTATCCAATATCAATTGTTTAAAGGTAATACAAACTTTTGGTATGGGGTCATTGAATTGGTTGAAATGAGCATATTGAAAACATATGCGATCCTACAATATTTAGTGATCGTTGTCGCGGTTGGAATCCAGTCTAAAAAGATGACATTGTAAATAATTAAAGGTAATACAAAGTTTGGGGAAATTCTGAAAAAAATGGGTGGATAGTGATTCGTTACACTTATGATATAATTGGATGCCCCTGTTGATTTATTATAAAACACTGGAAAATTTAGCCCCTAAAACTCTTCTGCTTTCGAGATAAATTCAATATAAAAATTTACCGGTGCTCCCGGGAGATTTTGACAAATTTAAAGTAGCGCCTACGGCCGTACAATTTACTGGAAGCACCGGTAAAGTTTGATATTCATTTTTTTTCAAAAGCAGAAGTGTTTTAGGGGCTAAATTTTCTAGTGCTCATAATACATCAACAGGGGCATCCAATTATATCATAAGTGTAACGAATCACTATCCACCCATTTTTTTTTAGAATTTCCCCAAAATTTGTATTACCTTTAATTATTTACAATGTCATCTTTTTAGACTGGATTCCAACCGCGACAACGATCACTGAATATTGTAGAATCGCATATGATTTCAATATGCTCATCCAAATATATTGAAATTGTAAAGAATCACTATCCAGGCAAAATTTCTCAACAATTTGTATTACCTTTAATGTAATTTTCAATACTTTGATATTCAATTTTTGTTTCAGCCGTCGGTTGCTACTTAGAATGTATGTTTTTAATCAATGAATCAGTTCAAAAATAATTTTAAAGTCAAAATAATCGTCTAAAGATAGATAAATAGTGCCGACGTTGAATATAATCAATGCCCGTTATATGAATTATCAAGAATGATAGATAAACTCAAACTGGATTTTAAGGAAAAGATATCAAATTGGATTTAATTCTTACTTCTCCCCTTGACCATTAGATTCAATGACGCCAATAACACCGACGTCGAAGTGTATTTCAGGGTCTAGTAACCCTGAAACGCTGTGGTAACCGACATGATAGTCAACTCCCTGTGCGACTATGACCAACGGTCCACTAAACTCCACGTAATCGTCCTCTCGGTAGCCGTAGACAACGACGTCAACTTCGTCCACGCTTTCGAGGGCATCTGTGTTCCACGTGATCTCGAAGTCGGATTCTTTTTGGTTGCTTTCCGTTACTGAGGAAAATACACCGTCAGGAACGTCCTCGACACTGACTGTAGGGGGAAAAGGTCAGTGTATAGATATTCTAGGCATCGTTTCACGATATATTCGTAAATACAAGTTCGTCGGCAATTCTTTGAAACGTCTATATTTGCAATCAACCCTCGTTTCAATGGGATGTTGACGAACTTGTACATACGGCAATGTTGTGAATGATATCAAGGTACGAAAATATGATAACGCGGCAATCTATTTAATATTTCAGACTTATGCTCAAGTAACTCTCTAGTCTCAACCTCCTATCAAAGCACTTTAAAGCACTGAAGTTATATGTTTATGTTTTAGCCCTTGAATATGAATATTTAGGCATTATTCGAGAAAGATGATGTCAACCGTATCCGAACACCTACCCCCTGTGACAACTTTCTCCTAGGACAACTTATCCTAGGGCAACAACCCTCTAGGACGACTACCGCACCGGGACAACTACCCCAGTCTGGGGTAGATGTCCGGGAATAGTTGCCCGGAGGGTAGTTGTCCTAGGGCGTAATTGTCCTGGAGTATTTGTCCTAGGGGTAGTTGTCTATTAAGGGGTAGTTGTCCCGGGGGTAGTCGCCCTAGGGGGTTGTCGTCCCTGGGTAGATGTCCGGGAGTATTTGTCCTAGGGGTGGTTGTCTGAGGGTAGTTGTCCAGGGGTATTTGTCCCGGGGGCAGTCATCCTAGGGGGTTGTTTACTGGGGTTGGTTATCATGGGGTGTATGTCCAGGGGTAGGTGTCCTAGAACCGATGCCAACAAATGAAGAAGCAAGCAAAATTAATAGCCATGAACAGTTGTTTATTGGTTGGAATAAGATTTAGAACATCATGAACGTATCATTTATTTCTTCATGAACTATCATTTTTAAGAATTTCGGCATGATTTCTTGTAATGCATAGCTATAGCATAAGCCAACGATTCTGACCTGATGAGTGATGACAGCTTAAAGGTATTACAAAGTTTTGGTATGGGGTCATGAATTTGGTTCAAATTAACATATTAGAAGCATATGCGTTCCTACAGTATACATTGATCGTTGTCGCGGTTGAATTCGAGTTTAAAGTTATGAAATTATAAATAATAAACTCTTTATGTTGTATAGCTCCCACTCAAGGTCAAGATATTAATTTAGCTATGAAACAATGTTTCTTGACTGAAATCGACCGATTAGCTATTCCCGTTAGAAAATTATATATCCCAACTACATATTCTGAGATTTTCATGGTCGCAGCTACGATTGTACGGCCATTGGCGCTATTTGAAATTTATCAAAAATTACCGGGAGCACCGGTACATTTTTATATTCATTTTTTCTCGAAAACAGAAGTGTTTCAGGGGCTAATTTTTTTATACAATACATCCACAGGGGCATCCAAATATATCAAAATTGTAAAGAATCACTATCCACCCAATTTTCAAATTTTCCCAAAACTTTGTATTACCTTTAATGTGAACTTGTTATAGCTTTATACAAAATATGCTATTCATATGAACTTACTAATTGTGAACAATCCTGTGAAATCAAACGTGAGTCCGTCGTCTAGAGATACGCGCAGGGTAATCTGTCCAACTTTGTAGAAAGTCGGCGAAACGCAAAGGGCGACCTCGTCTTCCAAAAGTCTTCCAGAAGTCTCGAATCCGTCGAAATCACAGATAATCAGGTTGGTTGAATTAAAGCACGGTCCGTTGATGAGAACCTGAGTTCCACCAAACATTGAACCAACCAATGGGAACAAGGAAATGTCACCTGTCAGGAGGAAAACCAACCTCTGGTTAACGAAATGGTATGAACGAGGGCGTGGCACACTAAAATTATGCTGCTCAGTGTACTTAAAGGGACTTGGTAATATTGTTCAGATGAGAGAAAATGGTTCTTAGGTAGTGACTTCAGTGCTAGATGTACATTTAAAGATAATCTGGAAGTTTAAGTGAAAACAGACCATTATTAATGATACAAATTGGGGAAAACTGATCTGATCGATTTCAGAATTCTCCCTTCTACATTATTTTAATTCATTTAAATGTTAAGGTGAATGTGCATCGTCAAAAAGCAGTGAATTCGCCCTATATACAATTCGAAACATTTAAGTGTTGGAAGATTTTAAAAAGCCTGTTTTTTTCTTCATGGAAAACAGTTTAAAAAAGTCAAAGTTGGGAGGCTTTTTAGGCTTTTCTTGCATATTAGAGGTAAGTACGGTAGAAGGAATATAAAAAAGTAACATTTCATACAATAATAGCGCAGTTTTTTCATCAACCGTCAACAATGTTACCGAGTCACTTTAAGTTCATACGGGTAGAGAGTGAGAGAGAAAGAGAGAGAGAGAAGAGAGGGGGACACACACGTAGCACCCACATACGAACCATACACACTCTCTTGCCTACGACCCCCCTACACAATACCTTGTCATTCGATCAGGTTTTTTAATTATAAATCAAGAGATGACTACATATGATTTTTTTAGATATCTTCTAATTGACCGAAGCAAAGTAGTTCATTTTCACCAATTTTATTATTATCACAATGAATATATCAAAGGGAATATAACGTGCTGATATAAAAAGAAACAAAGGAACGATATCTAGCTTTATTGATGTTTGGTGTGAAGCGATCCGATAGCAAAAACACAAATGAGTACATGGAATGGCTGGATCTGGGATAAACTGAGGTGGAAGTGGTAAAGAGGAATCGATTGAGATGAATCGATCGTGAGTTGAGGAAAGAGAACGATGAACGTGTGAAAAGAGCGTGGGATATGGAAGAGGATGGCACAAGGGGCAAAGGAAGACCGAAGATTTCTTGGAAAGAAATGGTGAAGAAAGAAAGCAGTAAGGTTGGTTCAAATGGGGGAGTGTGCTCGAGACAAGAAGAAGAGGAGAGAAGGAGTGTCATCATGACCCGAAAGTAAATAACCCCTTGTAAAAGGACAGTTATGATGATGATGATAATTTCGTCAGAAATCGCAGGAATGTTAATGATTGTTTACACACCGGAGGTTGTACATTCTAGTCCTTCGATTTTGGAGTTGTCTGTCCTGAACACCCATCTTCCAGGTACACCGATATTCGATGTCGTTTCGATATCGGCGACGGCTGCTGTTTGAGATCCAGGGACACTGTAAAAGGTCACTCCGTCACCAGCGTTGAATCCAACCTAAGAGGCAAAAATGTGACATTTGAAGCAATACTTCCGAACTAATGTAACTTGTCTCATTCCATGTCATATTGCCCTTTTCAGTGTTTGTTCCCCCTAACAAAACTAAGAGAAAGAGAGAAAGTCGTCAGAGTGGTTTTTTCTATCTATTAGTTGGCGAGAAACAAATTTGACAAATTTGACTGACTCTAAGGTACTGCGAAACTGCTTTTCTTTGTATGGTTGGAAACAGACCAAACGGATTTAGAATTCGATTTTACGTTATCGATCAAAATCTACACTAGCTTTGATTTTTGATTATGTTCTCTTTTTAAGGTAACGATTATAAAGTGTTTGTTTAATCCCTGTTATCGATACATCCAGCATAGCATATGAACGGGTCTTATTTTCCAGCAGTGCATCATTACTTGCACCGAAGCATCACCCTTTAATCTTTGTGACTGCACAGTTCACGTCAGCCTTTTGCATTCCCGACTAAACTAAAAACAAAATCATGGAAAGGAAATTTAGACCATAATACCAGAGTCACAACCGACACCAAACTGACCAAATTACATTACACCAAATGATGCCTAGGAGTCAATTTAGGGGTATGACTGATGTATTATTTCATAGAAATGGGGGGGGGGGGATACTGTAATACATGAGCTCGTTATCATAAACACAATCGTGTTCCTCGTTTATAAGAAGAAGGAGGTATAAACCAAACGTCATAATGATTTACCTGAGCTGGGATACCACCAACACCTTTATCACGATTACCACCACTGGCAGCTCCTGTTGTCCAGTTGATATCACCGTAATTAAAGATGGCGAAGGAGTGTCCGCCATCTGTCACCATCACAGCTTGAAAGGAATTCCTCTGAAGTAGATATCAACATTATCAAAATCTATATCTTGATATAATATTATACAAATAATGAATGGTTATGAGTTCAATACTTCTACTTCTACTTTTATGGTGATACTCACCAACGCCTGTTCAGCATCTAGATGAGGGTAAATCATAGAGTTGTTATATACAGCTCTATGCGGTACACTAGTTCCTGAAAAGGGAACTAAATTGTTTCAATAGCCACCTTGAACTGCTCCAAAGAAGGCAGTTCAACGATGATTTGAGGTAGCTCGTCCCAGACCTTATGTGTCCTGGGGAAATAACTAAATTTGAAAGTGTCCATCGAAGAGCCTATTCTCATATATTGTTGTTGTTGACTCCTCCTTGTAGTTCGCTGCCTCTGTAATCCGGTATTGGTATTGCAATTTCGTTTAATTGCTATCTTCTAGAACATTGACAAACATGCCCGTTTTTTTCTTTCTTCAAGTTTTGGGAGATTAAGTTGTTCTCGCATGGATGTTAAACTTGCATCACGCTGGTAGTTTCCACAAATGAAACGAAGTGCACGTGTTAGGACCTACTCTAGTTGGTCTATCTGATTCCGCTTGTTGGGGTCCCATACTACCGAAGCATACTCTAGCTGGGACCGTACGAGAGAGTATGCCAGTTTTTTTCACTTCTCTTGGACATTGTCTTCCAAGATTCCTCCGAATGAATCAAAGGGTACTCGAGGCCTTGTTTGTGACCGCATCTACGTGCGATTTCCAACTTAGACGCTCATGTAGCTCGATTCCAAGATATGCTTTGCTGGCCACACCTAGAAGATCATCTCCCCTCATAGTATACGTGTGCATTATGGGATGCCTCTTTCTGTGAATTCGCATTGAGTAGCATTTTTTTGGCGTTGAATTGCATTTGCCAACGATCAGCCCACTCCAAGAGTCTGTCATATCTGATTGAAGTTTTATCGTGTCATCTATAGATGTTATTCTCCGCATCAAAAGGCAATCGTCCGCAAATAATTGATGATAGAATCGACCTCGGCACCAATATCATTTATTAATAAGAGGAACATAAGAGGACCTAGAAAAGTGTCCTGAGGCACTCCTGATGTGACATGAACCGACGTTGAAGCCTCTCCATCAACAACCAGTCGTTGCGTCATGGTAGTTAACCAAGTTGATATCCAGCTTAGGGTCACATCACGAATTCTGTAGTATTTCAGCTAACTTAAAAGCCGTTGATGAGCAACCTTGTCGAAGGCCTTGGAGAAGTCCAAAATCATTACGTCTGTTTGATGGTTGTTATCTGGATAGTTTTTCCACCGTAGTGATGAGTTGGGATTCGGTAGAATGCTTTCTGCGGAAACCATGTTGATACTTTACAAGTATATCATTTTCATCCAGATGTTCCATAATGGAACGAGAGTGCGAATATTTTCATGAGTTGAATAGAATTAACGCTAATCTTTCAACGAATATATTCGCACTATTACACGAATGAAAAACATTCATTATTTTTTTTAAACAACATCGAAAAAGATCTAACAGAACGTTAATCAACAAATTATGCTTTACTCCTTATATCAAAATTAAATTAAAGTTGGAGTCAAGCCTTCTCGATTACATTCAGATTGCCTTCGCGTCAGATACACGCAGGGATACGCGCACGGCAGAGAGGTACGCAGTCTGCATATAACCAAAAATGCACGCCCGTGCAATATAACATCTATTGAATATCATGTGACCAACAATCCTCCAATCAACCTAATTGGTCAATTATTGATCACATGACATTCGCCATAAGTACTGCCGAACGGCATCATTCTCCAGTCGTGTAATTTCGTTTGATCCTTTCGCAACATTGCACGCTGACGTCACTAACGATGTACACAATATATGGTGAGGTAAGTGACGTCGCCGTGCAATGGTACCAAATAATCAATCGACATTGCACTCCGCATCAAAATAAACATATATCTTTGTACGCGCGGCGCATGGTATGCGCATGGTTTGCTGCCTGCTTAATAGTGCGCGCTCACTATCGGCAATTTCATGAATTAAAAAAAAATCGTTGAGATTTAGGCCCCCAATACTTTTTTATTTTTATTTATTTTATTCATTCATAGCAACCAAGGGTTGGATTGATAATAATACATACATTTTCAACATAATTATGAACATTATTAAATTCAGTACAGTGAAATTGATAAATTATGAATAGAAATACATGAAGATCATTAATACAAAAAACATTACAAATCATTCAGGTATATCATATTAGAAATAAATCATTACAAGAAAAAGGGGAAACAACATAAACTTGAATAGACAAGAACAGGGAGCAAGAGAGGAGAAAGAAAGTGAAGAAGTGAAAAAACTGCAATGATCAATCAAGTAAACTATACATCCAAATATAAAAATATATAAGTCAACGTATGGGTATAAACTGAAGAAAAAAAATTTGCATGTACTGAATAATTATTCCAAATTGATCCTCTGAAGCAAGGTTTTTAAGCCTATTAACATAAAAGGTGTTGTATAAAACAAATAGTGAATTGCCTTTATTCGTGCAATGGAACAAGATTTTGCATTCGGTGAAAGATGAGATGCTGTATTCAACTCGGCTGCGCCTCGTTGAATATAGCGTCTCTTATCTTTCACCTCGTGCAAAATCTTGTACCATTGCACTCATGGCCATTCACTATTTGTATAATATTTGATGACACAAAACGGATAACACGGCAGGATGGTGAATTAAATGACTCTCAACTTTTAGTAATTTCAGTGATAGATAAAGACGTACCAATTAAAGTGAAAAAGGGCGAAAACATGGATTGTTTAACGGACTAAAATGCATAATCAGTCAAGTAGTGTTTACAAATTGTCGCATGTTTGTTCAGTTTTATTTCTAAGAGGTTTGCACTTGGGTCTGATATCTGCTGTTATCCTTTTATCATGTATGCAAATTCGCTGACGGGTCTTTCAAAAAGGCCAATGTCCTTAAGTTAATGCAAGATTCTATAAGAAATGCCGACTATGTTTTATTCTCGTAGAATTTCGTCGGTTCTTTTGTTATCACATCGCCATAACACGAGAAAGAACCCGAAATCCATAATACAGTGGCGACAGATGATAAATAGGTTCAGCGGCGAACTATCGATCAAGCCAGTTTACTTACGATGGAGGTATCAAAAGCACCAAAGAAAGCTACGCTGTCCCAGGTCGCGATGTACATCCATGACGACACAAAGTCTCTCATGTCAACAAATGATGCTCTTATCACTTCATCAGCTTCGAGGAATATGCCGTCGTTTTGGGTGAATCGTAAGACTTGTCGATAGGATAAAGTTCCGCCATTACGCGTGTCAACATCAGCCCAGAATGGAGTCAAAAGTCGTCGGCCGTCAGCGAGTGGAAACGGATAAGGGGTATATTGAGAAACTCTTTCCAAGAACGAGATGACACCGTTATTGTTGACCTGCATCAACATTAATATGAAAGCAATTAGTAGTAGATTTTAGTGACAAGGCTGGAATATCATAGAGAGAATGAGAGGAAAAGCACGGAACGAAAACAAAGAAATGGGGAGACATATAGTGAAGGCGGTAGTAAGTATTGTTTTAGCCAATTCATGAGGAAAATTGAAAAAGTAGAACGGTATTAAATGGAGTTTAAAAGAAGACAAATTAATCAGCTCGTACGGATATATACACACACACATACACACACACACACACACGCACACACGCAAACACACACCAACAAACACATGTCAAGAGAAATAGAGGCATGGTATGTAGAAATAGAGGACAAGAGAATAATAGAGTCAAAGAGAGAGTGAGAGACCAATAAAGACAGAGGAATAGAGACAAGAAAGAAGGAGAGAAAGAGAGAGAGAGAGATAGAGAGAGGGAGAGAGAGAGAGGGAGAAGGGGATGGGGTGGGTGGGGTGTGGAGAAGATCATCGTTTGCAACACTTCATACATATACACGAACATTGATGAAGTGGTATACAATTAAATTACCTGTACTTTCGAATTTTGAAATCAAACCAAATGGGGATTTTTATGATTTATTTGGAATCATAATTGAATATGTTATTAAAGTCAAATTTAACCCTAAAAAGGCCCTCCACGATTTTTCCGATTGCTCGGGAACGCATATGGATGGCTCCCCGCCGCTCGCTGACTTTTTTTTTTTTCGAGTCTTGCGCATCTTTAAAACAAAATTGAAAATCTGACCAACAGTTACAAGGTCACGTGACCTTTTGTCTTTGCATGTCAGCCCGAAAATCGCTCATTTTTGTGATTTGTGTACAAAACATGTAAATGTAATTTTTCCTAAAAATTGGTTATTGGGGTTTGTTATAAGTTTAGGTCGTTGTTTTGGGAGTCAAAATTGTATTGTAATTGAATTGTAGTAAGAAATGAAATAATAAATAAAATACATAGGTTAAAAAAACAATGAAATACATAAGAAATTATCAAAACAATAGATAACATAAGAAATACGCTGGCTCTTCCAAACAAAATTGTCGTCTTTTTATTCCAAATGGTCTAATGAATATATGTAGTGAAAAAGAATGCTTAAATATAAATAATATATGATTTATTGGTAAAAATGTGATTTAATGACCTTATTCGCATAAATTACCATAAATATGCAAATAAGTAAATTTTTCAAAAAATTTAAATTATCAAATTAATTTTATACACTTCACTTGACATGCGTGCACATTTTCGCGGGGATCGGCCGCTTCACGGCCAAAATCTTAAGGGGGGGGGGGCATAATGGCCCCCATCCCCGGCCGTACTAAGACCTCAAATAGCCCGGCCTTTTTAGGGTTAAGGCAAGTGGAGCGCCCGCTACACTGATCATCCGTCCAATGTGTATTTGTCATTACTCCCATTCATCACTCCATACAAAACCGGGATCCATTTTTCTATTGTAAATACCACACGCAGTATTATAATATCTACTGCAGTGCGTGCGATTTTACAGCATCGTAACAGGACTTGGTTTGAGGCAGACATTTTAAACAGACAATCAAGGTAAGTCTAATTTGTTTTTCCTCCGTTAGCGCGATAGTTCCAGCAAAATTTATATTTGAGTTTGTTTTGACAGGAATAATTTATTGAATGCTATATAGTATTATCTTACCGCTGATATGATTCAAATCATGAGATCATAAATCATGTCTAATTTTACTTTAAGTCGTCATTTTGTTGATGGGTGCATATTTGGGACACAGAGGTGTTAATGGTGAGGATGCAGTTTGTGTGGTTGTATCCTTTGATATGACTCTGATCACGGAGAAATTCTAAGAAAGTAGGGATTATCGATCAAGAGACAAACTAGCTATGAGCAAGAGAGGATCAAAACCGAAATGTGTATTACGTGTTGAAATTTGTTGTTGATTGTAAATGAAAATCATACAACTTGTGATACTATAAACAACAATACTTATTCCGTTCTCTTGTATAGTATATTCACTTCCAATGAGTTGAAAACAAGATTACTTCTATATTATAGTACTTATGAAAGGTCGTCGCGAATTATTTGTAATATTTGATGGAAAGTTCAAAAGTGTCATATTGTAGGGTAGGCTTGCAAATCTTGAAACCTATACAATTACAAATTGAAATAGTATACTCATGTATTCCAGATTATTATGAAGATTTGGGACAATATAAGCATTAAATAGTGCCGAAAACAATACTCACTCCATTATGACTGTTTAAAATGCTGGTACTAGACTGAATGGCAATCCGTTATGTGACATTTCATTAAAATTATTCAGTACAGAGTCATATTAGCATCATTTCGGCCATCTTTTCATTGGGTAGTGTTGGGTTTATTTTTGTACGAGAGATTTCCATTTAGCAAAAGACATTTCCCATTTTTCGTACTGTACACGAATTAATTTTTTGCTTGCTCTGTTTACCTCTCAACTCATTACGAAAAAAAAATATGTTGTTTATATTGATTGGAAATCAATGTTTGTTAAATATATATCGATATCGTGTATGAATGGTAGTAACGTCCCCGTGGTTACAGATAAGTATATAGAATTACGGGGATTTGTTTACATCTTGGTCTTTAAAATTAATCTTTCCTGTTTACACAATATCCTGAACCGGAGATCATTAATCTTCAACCATGCCCACTATAAAGTACTAGCTCCTGTGAACTCACACCTACGAAGTTTGTATAATCATGTACATATGTTAATAATTCATTTACTAAAGCTTGGACTTGGCATTGTATAGCCTGTAATCTATAACTTATAATCTATGAAGGTATAAATAGTTATGTAGGCGCTTTGAAAGGCTTTTTTGGTCAAAAGCAACGCTTCAGAAATGTATATTATTTACTATTATTTATTCACCAAATCAAGTTGTTTGACATTCTTAAATGAACAAAGAAAAGGAGTACAATAATAAGAGCACTGAAATGTTTGTAGCTGGTCAATTTAAGATGACTTCTTGGGGTTAAATTTTGTCTTAGAACCATTCTTCATCGAGAAAGTAGCTGCTTTTCAGCATTGAATGCCGTGAATAGACGTTTAAATATAACGATACATTCAAGCGAAATGATATGAAAAGAACTCACAGAAAATATAACAAGAATAATAAAATCAAAATGAATACGAAAAAAAGATAAACATCCTTTGAAAGACCGATTATGAGCAGCAGATGAAAGAACTTGAAAAGAACACAATCGTCTATTTTTTTAAAAATTGATATGTGGCGGTGTGCAAGGCCCTTCACCGCCTTAAAAACCTACGGTTACACATTGTATGCAGGTAAATCATATGCGTCATCTTTTTTGTCGCCATCACGAATTGTTAAATCTTCCATTGTATAAGTGTCACACAGTTTCGCTTTTTGTACTTCACACAAGTGTACAAACAACAAACTCGACTTATTATAAATGATATATTGTTAATATAAAGGTGAATTAAAGTCTGCGAGGCCGCCACATTTGCACACAAACATAAATGGCTCTCATGCGTTATTTTAACACGATCGAAGGATGATATCATTATAGCTCATGCGAATCATAGCGTAGAAAAATCGTGCCATAATGACCTTTCACCTCCTATTGTACGATAATTGGATGAACATGCATATTTTACTAACATCTTATTTATGCCCTAGGCGATGGGTGTTCATTTTTTCGTAGGCTACTGAAATATATTTCTTGTTTTTTTAAAATGGACAGATAAACAAACGAGATAAGTAATTACCTTGAACGGTGCACAATATTTTTTATTCAACTTGTTGAACAAACATTGCATTTAATGTACATTTCTCGTCGTAGTACACTCGAGTGCACTTGTGCACGCCATTATGGATGCATACAGTCATCCTACGATGGCAGGTCGTTATATATGACGCCATATGCCTTAATTAGAGATGAGGTAACATGTCAGTTTTCGTCGACATTTCCGCATAGGAGCGTTAATCCTTTGTGTGGTAGTGATGATTTTTTTTTATGTTGCAGATTTATGTTGTTAGTACTTATCCTTTATTAAAATAGGTCACTTCAGAGATAGAGGGGATATCAACAATCATTAAAAATCATTCTATTCATTTGCTTCCAAATATTTTCTTATATCAACTAAATACTCAAGTAAAACATTTGTACAGCCTACTTAAATAATGACATAAGTAATTTCAGGGATTAGACCTCCCTGCATGGTCACTGCCATTTGGTTATCTCATCAAATCAGCTCTCAATTAACATAAGAATGTACTGCATGTAGTGCAGTCTCGCTTTAAAATATATCACATGTCCTCCTTGGACAAACAAACTAGAGGGTAGTGATCCGGTGATTAACTTCTTAGGGTGATTAAATCAATTATTCTAGAGGTAGGTCTATTGTTTTGGGGGTAGTTGCACGGAGTACGGATAGTTATTGTTTAAGTTGTTTAAGTTGTCCTACTGGATGAATACAGGACTCATATATTGCAATACTTATCGATTAACCATGCTTGTATTCGCTATCTTGCAATGTCCTTGTGTTCCAATTAGTATGTCTAATCATTTGTTGAAATTATTTCGTTATTTAAAATGCCAATGTTGATCCAATAATGTCTCAAAACCTTACTGCCAATAAATCTAAATTATAATTGTTCTGGGTCAAATTATTTTGATAACTTCACCTAAATTTCTCCCTCTTCTTCTATCTAAACCTGATGTCGTCTGTCCTTTTCATTTCCCAGTGTTTTTCCCTTCCCGTGTTAATTTTTGAGGTGCAATTTTATTCCTACTTTGTATGTTACTATGCATATAACTGTATTTCAATTTTAAATGTATTGTATTCTAATGTAATTAATATATTTTTTTTGTAATTTCAATTTGTTTCAGTCTTTGGCTGCTATTTGGAATGCATGTTTCAAAAAAGTAATAAAGAAAGTTCAATTAATCAATCACTCAATTGGCGCCTCCTTTCTCACGTGTCAATGTTGTGAGGAGGTGGTAGTCCAAGGGAACACTATACAGTCCTCAAATTGCAAACATAAGTGAAGTTTTATCCCTACTATTGGTCTTCAAAACTCATGTTCGGTCTTTACGAAACCTTCTTACCCTACACAGCAAGTTACCCCTGATATGCAGGCCACGTCTCATCCCACCCAGCCCGGAGTTCCGGGCCAGACTGTCTACGTCCACCAGCCCGCTCCAGTCAGCTATGCCAATACGGTGCAGAACCCTAACTCGACGAGTGGCGTGTCGCAGAAGTTTAACGGATCTGCCGGGAGAGCGACTGGTTTGCTACATTTGTCCCTCAGCATCGGGAGCATCGTCGTCGCCATTACCGAGTTTGTTATTGGCACCCCAGCAGGCTATGTTGCCATGGGAATTTGGGCAAGTGTTCTGGTAAGTCGCCATTTTTATTTTTATTCTTTGGAGTATCCAATTGTTTCCATACATGATTGCCAGAACTCGACAAAAATCAACATAAGGCAATTATTCCCTGTAAAATGTGCGAACATTAATTTCAACGACTTATTGCACAATCCCACCACCACGCATTATTGCTATGGGACAAACAGTGCGTATAAAGAAAAGTGCTCACTTGTCCGCTGCGCCATTTTACAGTCACGCGTAATGAGCAAAACTTTTTAAAGACCCTGGTGCTTAATCGCTCTTGGCAGAAATATTATGAATTACATAAAAAAACATATTGCTCTTCATCATGAAATAGAATTACCGAATTTAGGTACAATTTTGTATACCCACTGTACAATAGTGTAGTCCAATCCACACTGCATGAGCGTGCATTTCGTCATTTAGTCGATTTTAAACGTCTCCTGTAATTATATATCTTTGTTTTCTCCTCTCTTTCCTGACATTCCTATTGCATTTGTTTGTAAGTACACATGTATGAGGTTTACTGTAATACATTTTAGGCCTATATTATGCGTATTAAATACAGACATGTGCTTTCTTGGACCTTCGCATCTTGCCCCACATGTTTACGTTCAGTTAAGGTCTAAGAAAATTTTCTTCTGAAAATGAAAATTTAAAAATGTTACCAAAGTTTGATGAAATTAGTAAATGTTCATAACAACCCTGTCGAAACTCCTTCTTTCTGTTACTCTTCTGTCATTGTACACATTAATCGCATTTGACAATTCTGTAATCTTTCATATTTCCTGAAATTATTTCAAATAAATTTTCTAATAAACTGAATGAATTAAAATTTGATGAATCACTTTTGAGGCCGAGAACACTTTCGAACCAGTCGATTCTGATTTGCAGATTTAACTTAAAGGGATAGTTGAGTACTGTTTTCAAACCGCAAATGCCTTCAAAGTGCATAATTATAGCTCTTATTTTATCTATATATTATTTATAGTGCTCTTTTAGAACTCTTTGCCACCCCTACTAAATTTATTTAAGGCTGTATGCCTAAAATTGCTATGAATGTAATTTTAGACCCCAAAATGTGTGAAATTTCGTCGATGCGATCATACAAATTCAACTCCACTTAAAGTGAAGTTGAGTTCTGGTCATGCGATTGCATTGTGAAAGAAACGGTGTGGAACCGACCAGAAAAAGTTGATCATTTAGCATATAAGAATTTGTGTGTATTGCAAGGTTCTGGAATCATCAAATTGATAAGAAATTTGGCCAAGTCTTGGTAAAGTTACAAACACTGTACACAGAAAGATGTATATGGGACTACACGAACACGTGGCGTAAAAAGCCGCCCCCCCGATTTTACGATGTTACATGCATATTTAGAATGTGAAGGCATTTGAAGAGCAATGCTTTTCAGGGAACATGTCTTATCTGATGTTCTTCCACACTTGCATAATGAGAATGAGTAATGCTCACAAATTATTTTTCACCTCTTCCCAGAACTCAACCTTCTCTTTAAAAAAAAATACGGTGACCGTTAATTAATTATTTATTTAAAAATAACAATACATGGGCCGGCTGGTTTTGCGAATATAACCAACACAAAAATGCCAACAAAAAAGCCAACATCGGTATTGGCTGAAATACGAAGTAAAAGGCGCTATTTCGGTTTCACAACGGCTTTTTCAAATTATCTAATATTTGTGGTGGTACACAAGTATTATAATTCGTTATATGTATGGATATTTCAGCCGTCTCTGAACCTATTTTGATCAAAGATGATTTTGTCATTTAAATTGTATGTTCTTTCAAATTTGACACTCAGTTTTTCATTAACTCACATTTTTTTTTGTTAAGCGCCTTCTGCAACAAAACTTAACTATCCCTTTAATTTGGCATGAGGTTTTATACAGACAGATTCGATAACTATGCAATACCTTTAAACAAGATTGGTTTGAGAAAGAAAAAAATATCAAAACTAGACTATATTTCATTTAGCTAATTCTCAAATCAGTACTAAACTGTAATTATATTGGTGTCTGTTTAGAGCATAATACACAGTGCACGCTACCAAAAAAAATGCTTTGCAATTTTGTAAAAATATTTATCTTATTTCAGCAAAACTGTAATTATGGAGAGGCATAAAAAGTGACAGAGGCCAAAAAAAAAATTGTTTACTGTTAGCAATACGTGTTAATATAAGTGCAACTATTTAAGAGAGAAAAAACATGGGTTATTTTGCATATATATATATATATATCAAAATTCAGTTGACTTTTGTAATTTTGATTTTAATGGCTGTTATTTATTTCCTCACCTAGTTCTACATTCCTACCGGTATCTTAGGAATATGTTCAAAGCAGAAGAACACTTGCGTGGTATGTATATTTTTGTATAACTAGTTTAGTCTCTTTTATAAATATGTATTCAGTACCCATAACCCCTTTACATGTATGCGTTTCTTGTGATTTCGAGGACTCATAATAATTATGTATACAGCGAAAAAACATATACCGCACACACATACGCACACGCACCCGCACACCCAAGCACTGCGCACCCACACAATCAATTACCGTGTTTACACAGTGATCCGCCTCGAGGTTTAAAGCCGGGTTGAAGCCGCGAGGCGTGTTGAACCCGGCACTGGAATCCCGTTTACATGACATAAACACGCCTCGTAGCCTAAAGAGACTTATCGCGAAAACCCGAGTGAACGCCAGAGCGAGTGGCCCAGCCAAGTAGCCTTTAGTAATATGGTTTGGATTTCTTATGTTAACCATTGTTTCCGACTAGAATTCTCTACCGAAATGGTAGCGTCCACTCACCGAACATATCATCGCGTGACGTCGGCATGTAGTTTTCATTACGTTCACATTAAACTCTACGTAGTACGAATACCGAAACGAGTTGGACTGGTTTATTTTATATACAGCGAAAGCCTAATTATCTCACTTACAATTGTTAGCTCAAGTCATCAAATTCTTCCTATTTTATTGTAATTTTGCATGTAAAATAGATTTGGATATGTTATATTGTATTAATCATGTATATGTTCATCTCATAAGCAAAACTAGTTTACGTCTTTTAACTTTTCTTACATGTTTTGATATTGATCTAATCACGAACGAAATCAACTGGGAGATGGTCATTCTGATTGGTCAATAAATCCAAAGTCATGAATAGTTCATGCAGAGCAGTAAAAGCTAGAATCAAAAGGCCTCGCGGCTAAAGCCACTCGATCGCTCGTTCATCCCGGGTCTCTAGACTCATCTCATCTGATTGGGGTGGGAAATAGCCAGAGTCACGAGGCCTTGTCAAAAGGCTACACGCCTCGCGGCTTCAACCCGGCTTCAACCCTCGAGGCGGATCACTGTGTAAACACAATAAATGTATTCCAAGGCCAGTTAAAGACTTGTTAAATCGATTTTAGCTGAGGAAATGATAGTGTCACTCAACAGTATAGGCAACTACACATGTTACAACAATGAAATAATACATCGGTTCCGCTATTAACATAAACTTTATTCATTTGTTTTGCTGTTGTTTTTTTTCGTTAACAATTTATTTCTAAAAATGTTGTTTTCTTAGATCATCGGCTATCTTACGATGTGTATCATCACAGCAAATGTTGCCTTTGCTCAAATGATTGTTGGTGCCATTGGGGCAGTATTGACCAGTAACTATCCCTATTACTATAACTATGGCGACAGTGATCGAGGAATAGTGGTATGTATACAGACTGCATGCTGGAATGCATTTCTCTTTAATACGACCTTCCATGAAATGATTGTTGCAGTATGGTTTATTCTTGATAGACAAAGTTCCTATCAGAACATTACTGATCTATCTCTATGATTCTTTAGATTAAATGTTTTATGTCCCTTTACCCCATCAGTTTCGAATGCTTTTCGTCTTTTGTGCTTTTCAATTCTTATCAATATTTTAAAACAGTATTATCATTAACTGAATAAATGCTTTTATATAAACACGTTCGTTTTTTATTGGCCTGGTTTTTAAAAATAATTTCTTCCATCATCCTTCCCTCCACTTGTCAGTATTACAATCTAAATTAAATGTTATTATGATTTCCATTGGCTATTGTATATGTTTCCATATGCATTTATAGATTTTCTTAAATTTCAAGTGTTTCAAATTTGTTATTATGAAGAATTGATTCAATACATGAATGCATAAATATGAATAAATAATTGTTTATACACTGTTGGCCATAATGGTGGAATAATTTTTTTGACCCCGATTTATGGAAAGATTTTAACAATGATTTATTGCTCATAGATCTAGATAAAGTATACATTCTCAGATTTTATTGAATAATATTTTGTGAGTGTTTGTTTTGCGTGACTGCTAAATCATGTGTATGCTACTATGCTCATCAACTAGGGAGCCTACGTCCTTAAGTCATAACTGACAGTAATGAGGATTAATGCCTCATAAAAGGGCACTAATAAAGTGCCTTTATTATCGACACGGTTTTGATCCTAGGGGCTCACAGTAACGAGGCCATTGCTTAGCCACTGAATCATGACTGTACGCAACGGGGGCTAGGGTACGTCGCCGCCACCACAAATACAAAAAAAAGAAAGAAAATGTAATACATTTTCCATAATTCATTGCAAGTTGCCCCGACCCCTAGGATAACAAAATCCACTATGTGGGCATGCCTTGATCCATAATGCATTACCCTACAGAGGAATTTATAACGGTGTGGACCGGGGGAAAATGCAAAAAAATTATTGATAATTTATTGCATTTTCTTTGTTCCTTTTTTTGTATTTGCGGGGGCGGCGACGTACCCTATATAGCCTCCGCTGTGTCATGATTCAGTGGCTAAGCAATGGCCTCGTAACTGTGAGGCCCCAGAATAAAAACTGTGTCGATCAGCTATATTAGTGCCCTTTTGTGAGGCATTAATCCTCATTACTGTCAGTTATGACTTAAGGACGTAGGTCCCCTAGTTAATTAGCATAATAGCACACATATGCTTTAGCAGTCACGCAAAACAAATACTCGCAAATTATTATTCAATAAAATCTGAGAATGTATACTATTATCTAGATCTAATAGGAATAAATCATTGTTAAAATCAACCTATAAATTGGGTTAAAACAAATTATTCCACCATTATGACCAACAGTGTATATGAATATATGTACTGAATGGATGAATGAATGAATGGATGAATGGAATAATAGCTAAATAAAACAATGAAAATATACGTAAATAATAGGTAAAAAAATGATAAATGAATAAATGAATGGGAAGATAAATATATAAACGAAATTAAAACAAATGACTATTCGAATTCGAAAACAGGAAGGAGGCATCGCATCTGACTCACTGTTGGCCATCTTTGGCCTGATCGAGATGGTGGTAGCCATTGTGGCTTCAGCCTTCTGTTGTGGTGGCATGGCCTGTTGTCACTCGTCTTCACCAACAACCACCACTGTGGTGAGTTATTTGTACTATCACCCCTAAATATACAGGGGTGGACATCCACTCTCTTTTGTGGAGAGTCATGTTATTTTTCCTTTCCTTTAGAGTGGAAAATCTACGCTAAGATGTTGGAATCCATTGTCACAAGGGAAATACAACCACTTATATTTGTAGCTGTTTCCAGTTAATTTCCATTACAGGTACATTTTAGCAACTTTGGTTTAACAAAAGCTCCCTATAGAAAGAAACATCAATCGTGAGCAAAGGTCGAGGTGGCGCGGAAGTGTTGCCACCCCTACTAAAATTATTTAAGGCTGTATGCAAATTTCAAAAGACTTTGAATGACCGAGATTTGTTGTTGTTGTTTTGCTCTGCATGTCAGTATATTCCAGCAATTTTTCAATTTTAGTCAACATCATCCCCTTAAAACCCGTTCCGTCAAAAACTTTGCAGAGACGCTCCTTTAACCAGATATTTAACAAGACCTTATTAAAAAGTTACACATGTAGATTGATTAAAACAATAATGTCCTAGTGATTTGTTTTTTGTTTCTAGTTATCATTATAATATGCTTGGCTTCAGTATAGCAGTCGGACAAGTAATATGACTTCACTGGAACTACGAACCCACGAAGGTCGTAGGTACGAGCCCTCGCAAGGCACAGCAGACATTTAATACTGTCAAAGGACATCATTTGCAAATTGATATGATTCCCCTGCACCAATGGCATGTGGCAATATACATTTGCTACTCTCAATCCAGCTGAAGTAATGGGTACCTGATAACATGTATTCATTGCCATGATTACATGATATGCACTACAGCAACAGGATGCGAAGCCAGAATAATGCTGTCCAACAGAGTATTAGTTGATCACATGTATTGTAAACTATACAAAAGAAGAACAGGTCTATTGCTATTATCATTGTTTATTTCATTTGGTTTGTATCTAACATTTATTTGTACTTGTTTCAATTTCCTTTGCAGTACACCCACCAGAACATTCCGATGGTTGTGACAACCGGTATGTATATAACGATTGTTTGTGTTTTTGTTTCAACTTCAATCTATAGTTACTTGGTAACAAACATGGTATTTCCATTAACTAGTTGATATAGAAAGGAAACGGTAGGAAGTATAGACTGTGATACTAGCAATATCAGAGCTAAGGATTGGGGGATGTTTTATTATACCTAAATTGGTACATCTTATTATCTTTAAATGCTAGATTGTTGGTGAAATGTTAGCAAGTGTACTTCTCTGTTCCATTTCTCATTAAACTTTATGGTATTAACAAAACCCCGTAATAAACACATAAATTATTAATTCTACTTGATTTATTGTCAGATCCCAACTAGAATATTGTTCAACGTGTGACAAACTTGAGGTATACTATTATCGTTGAAATGTGGTCGGTAGCGTATCGGAAACAAAACCTCGGACTTGTCCACATACATCTACACAAAGTTGGCGACAATTTTGCAAGTTTGAATGATAATACTTCACAGTTATGGTTAATATTCTGAAATGAATGTGCTTATTTTTTATGAATACGCTTCATTATCGATAACTTGATTGAACTTCCTTTCACTTTCTTTGAATTTTAATGTTACTCTGCACTATACAATCAATTTAGTTATCGTGATTTATTGATGTAAGAGGAAAATTATACTACTAATTCCTTGAATTTTCATTGTCTCTACGCAGACCAGTACACTCAGCCGGCGGGAATTGCTCAGCTCCCTCCCGGACACAACGTTCAGCAGGCGTATCCCCCTGCTGGCCAGCCTGTTGCTCCAGCTCCCTACAACCAAGCTCCTGCTGTCCTGTACAACCAGGCTCCTGGTGCCCCCTACAACCAGGCTCCTGTTGCCCCGTACAACCAAGCTCCTGCTGCTCCGTCGAACTAGGCTCCCTCTTACTCGCACAACTAACAAGCAGCTGCTGCACCCATCAGGTCTGGCGAAATGGTCGCTTAAATGCGTTAAAAAAATGTTTCTTATTAATAAAACTACTCGGATATGTAGATGTTTATATTCGGAATAACAAGCCATAACTATATTTTTGATAAATAAAATTCAAGCCTACTCTGAGACACACGGATATCCAGAGAAAAAGTAGTTCATCCTCACACACTTTTTATTATTCTGAAGAGAGTGGTTTCGATTGTTAGCCGTGATACAGTGATTATAATTTTACATCAATTCTTATCTAATTTCCTCAATTGGTAATTAAAATATAGCAGATGAAGAAAACAAAGCTAAAATAATGGCTGATCTTTTTTGATAGCTACGCATAAAGTCAAGAAAAACAAACATGTTATCCTTACATGATATAACATAGCAAACTATATTATACAAAAATATGTGGTATGAAAGTAAAATAAGTGTCCTCTTTTCATCACGTGAAGCTAAAACCCCCCTCACCCATCATTCCACCCAACTTGGGAAATAGAGAACCCTTTTTGTTACTATTTATTAAGCGGCTGGGCTTCAATTGAATACTCTTGATGACTGCACAGAAAGATCTGTGAAAAGAACAAAGATATCAACAACAAATAACATTAACAGCATAAAACAGCTGAATGTCACAGTGCGAAAAATATGTAACCAGCCAACTTGTAGACGAAAAGTTATGCATACTGCATTTAAACTAAATGGGCTGATATTCCCTAACTGCTTTATAAATCATCAAAATGTTAATTCAGAGGACCAAACAAGAACATTTTAAATTGTAATAAAATAAATTGAAGAAAAATTTATTTTACTTCGATATAGATACAAACCGTTTGTTTGTATGTTGATTCAGTATCCCTATAACCTTGAAAATAAGTAGCCTTTTTCTAGTTGCCTGAAGTGTAGTGGAATATATCCAATTACCGGTGTATATTTGTTTACCTGATGATATATTAATATTGTGCCTTTCGATCTTTTGACTGTCATTTTGGAAGTAATCAATTCGTCAATTAATTAAGTTGACGAAGATCGATGAGAATTTAAGACAAAAGATGATTTAAAGTGTAAATAATTTCAGATAATTGTGTGAAATTGATCTTTGCTGAATTCTAAACATAAGATAAATCAATGCGTACGTGGTATGATAGTTCAAATAACTTCATAATCTAAACTAAATACAAAAGCAATTCTGTACAAAACCTTCAATGAATTATCGTTGTTAAGTGGCTGAAACGCAAAACAGAGTGCCATTAACAGGTCAAATTTTGAAACAAGAAAACAAATGAAAAGGGAAAAGATTCCTTTTACAACAATAAGGTGGGTAATTTAAGTTGTGTCCTGTGTTTACTGCATTTTTCTGTTTCATTTAGAACTGATTTATAGGGCGAATTATACAAAAGTACAACAGACAGAAATTAACAAAAAGAAGACAAAACAAAACATCATTGAAATTAGTATATGTTATTTTAAAACAATTTGAATTTTAGATTCGTTGACATTACATAAACAGTACAATACCTTACATTTTGCCTTCTTCCGTGCTCATTCTTATCATGTATTTATTTTTGTTAAATGACTCTTTCTATATCCGAAGTCATAAATATGCTTAGATTGACGTAAGCACTCCAAATACCTTTGAGCTGAAACTTCTACTTTCTGAAATATTCTTTTTGAGACTTTGTATATTCAGCTTTATTCTCAAATCTTACAAGGCGCGTATAGTAAGAGACACTTTTCATATTTTAAAAATTATTTTTGTAGATGAAATACTCGAGCAGCTGTTAAATCTAAAGCTTCATTACTTTAAATCTTTATTTTTAATTATAGAACTGTTTTTAGAATATAAATTTTTTTGAAAACAGTGATCTTTTCATTCCTTTAGGTTCCACTGTAGTTCAATTGTTAATGTATAATAATAATAATAATAATAATAATAATAATAATAATAATAATGGCTTCATTTCGTGATATATCAGATAGTGCATTCAGCTCGCTAATATTTGCACTCGTCTCCGAATCGTGTAATATTCTCGAGCTTAATGCAAAATATCTGATATACCTTCTAATGCTTCTTGTATCATTCACTGAGGTACAGCCTGCGGTAAACATATCATCTGTACAATAAACTTTTAGATTTTGATCGTTTTGTATCAACCAGTCATCACTAACTTGACCACGGAGAGAGAAAGAGAGGAGGAGAGAGAGGGGGAGAGAGAGGGGGAGAGAGAGGGGGAGAGAGAGGGGGAGAGAGAGGGGGAGAGAGAGGGGGAGATATATGGAGGGAAAGAGAGAGAGAGAGAGAGAGAGAGAGAGGACATCTTTGAAGAGAGGGGAATAGAGGCAGGGGCGGATCCAGTCGACGGCAGGGGAGGGGGCCAAAGAGAGGGCCCACTTCGTGAGAAATTAATGAGCGACGAAACAGCCAGCCGGTGAATATTTATTTTTGCCCCCGAAAATTTTAAAATCGCACCCCTCCCCTTGAGCACCAGGTGAGGGGGCCTTTCTTTATTAACAAATAAAGATAAACTTCCTAGGGAAGGGGGCCGAGCCCCCCCCCCCCGGCCCCCTGGAATGAAGAAAAAGAGGATGAGAGAAGGAGAGGGACAGAGACATACTCACAAAACAAGAAGAAAAAAGGAATGAAAGCTAGAACTAGAGGATAAGATAACGAGAGGGACAACGATAGAGAGAGAGAGATCAAACAAGACAGAGGAATGAAGAGAAAGACAGAGCAAGAGGAAGAAAAAGAGAAATAGGGACACTAAGAGAGACAGGGGAATCAAGGACAAGAGAGAGAGAAATCAAGAAAGAGTGAGAGAGAGACACCAAGGAAGACAGAGAAATTGCAAGAAGAAAACTAGGTTGAGGAATTAGAGGGGTAAAGATAGGGAGAAAGAGAGAGAGAGAGAGAGAGAGAGGGAGGAGGAAATAGAGAGAGAGAGAGAGAGAGAGAGAGAGAAAGAGAGGATCGAGACGAAGAGAGAAAGAGAGGATCGAGACCAAGAAAGACAGAGCAATTGAGGGAAAGACAGGGAGAAAGGAAAGAGAGAGAGAGAGAAAGAGAGACCGTAGAAAGCCCGTAAAGGGCTTGTAGGGCAGCTTACGGGTCCCATGCGGGCTCCGGACGGTGCCCGGATGGACCCATCACGATTTGGGGGGTCAATTCTCATGAAAAATCTTTTCTGGCGCCTTGCGGTGCTCAAGGGTTCAGTACGCATAGGCGCCGAAAGTTGGGGGGGGGGGGTTGGGCAGGGGGCATTTTTGCCCCCCCCCCAAAAAAAAAAAATTAATAAAAAAATAAAAAAAATAAACGCCCCCCCCCCCTCCAAAAAAAATGCAGTATAGGAGTAAAGATGGTTTTTATTTTTTACCCAAAAGAACAGAACAATAATAAAAACTGGAATTAAATCACATATAAAATTTCATTCAAAGAAAAGGAAAGTTAACAGGAATTCAATTTCCTAAACATTCCGCCTGCCACCTATATTTATCAATAGAGGTTTTTATTATAGCGATACGCGCATATCGTGGAAATATTGTGAGAGGATGGAAAAGCGTGAGTTTTTTTGTTATAGGGGTGATAAGACATAAGCCCCCGAACACTAGTTTACTGATGGGGGGGGGGGGGGGGTATTTCTTATTCGATGCCACTGCTTTACAAATGTTGCTGAAATGATATGATTTTCCGATACCTTTTATATATCTTTTTATGCGTTTGTTGGAAAATTAGAAATTCCCTAATTTACAGTCGGGCGACAAATATGCTTATTTAGAAGCCTTTAAATCAGGGCCTGAAGAAACGGCTCGGCTCGGGGGCTCGAGCCCCCCTCACTTTTTGAAAAAGTATGTTACAGAGATAAAGAAAAAACGAGAGAGAGAAAAAAATAGAGACCTGCCAATGTCACAAATGAGGTATCAAAATATGCTTATCTGACCGTAATGAAATACCTAAAACCCCTGAGCTTCCGAGGGCTCTCCCCCCCCCTGACCGCTACCAAAGGCCCTAAGGTGGGCCCATGGGTGCTCATCTGACCGTAATCAAATACCTGAAACCCCTTAGGTTCCGGGCCACATCAATTGCCTTAAATAGGGCCCCTGGATGCTCATCTGACCGTAATTAAATACCTAAAACCCCTGAGCTTTCGGGGGCTCTGCCCGCTGGACCCCCTCCAAGGGCCCTAAGGCGGGCCCCTAAATGCTCATTTGACCGTTATTAAATACCTGAAACTCCTTAGCTTCCGAATCATATCAATTGCTTTAAATAAGGCACCTGGATGTATTTTAACCGCAAATAAGGTATATCAATATGCTTATCTGACCCAATGTAATGCCTAAAAACCCTAAGCTTTCGGGGGGTTGGCCCCTTGACGCCCCTGCCGGGGCTTCCAAACCTTTGTGCTCATTACGCCACTGCCCCTGGAAGGTGAGCCCCCTGGAACGTTTGCCCCCCCCCCCCCAATACCAAAATGCTTCCGGCGCGCCTGTCCGTACGTGTACCCTAAAACTCCCTCACAGGCGTCTGCCGTCCGGGGCCATTTAACATGAATATTGCCCGTGCGGGTCCCTCACGGCGGCATCTCGAAATGTACAACGCAGATTTAATACAGGAGGTGTGGATACCAGAGGACACATACAAAGTGAGTCAGAAAAAATGTCCCACGTTTTAAAAGTTGTATTGTTTGAAGTATGAATATTTAATCATGAGTTTCATGATATGTCTTGATAGAGTTATCGTCCCAATACAATTAGGTACCATTTTTATTTAAATCTCTGCATGCATGACTGAACATCGGACAATCTTTACAAGACTGCCAGATCTCACTTGCGCCAAGTTGCTAGGTGAGGAATAAAATAGTGTTTTGAACAAAAACAGCCATTTTTTTCTTCAATTATCCAATTATCCATAAACAGACAAAACACACAAACACACACACACACACACACACGCACACAAAGTAGAGGTTGGTGATGATGCCTTAGTCCTTTGACTGCCCTAAGGGGAGCCTTCCAAAGTTGCGACTGTGCCCGGACGCGTCGGGGCGCGATGAATAGAACAGTCGCGTCTCAAGAGACGCATTGAGGCGCAAAGGGGCGCGAAGGGGCGCAATAGTCACCCTCATCTGATTCTTGCATATGAAAAGAAACTGTCTATTGTTGGTATAAACCCGCTCTATTCTTCTTGCGCCCTTTTGCGCCCTACCAGGCGATGGAAGATTATCTTTCGCGTCATTGTTCTCGCTCGGGATGCGCGGTACAGCTTAAACTTGATATATAGCAAGTATTTGTCGGCCAAAGCCTGTCTTCCCCTCCTCCGGTTCTCGTTCTGATAAACATTCCATTGTTTGTAAAAACTTGATGTATTCTTCTCGCGTCGCGATCTATTCTTGCGCCGTTTTGCGTCGTAACGGGCGGGGTATTATCTTTCCAATCATTGTGGAAGCTTTGCGATGTACATTGCTACAGCACAGCATGAACTTGTCTGGTGGGAGCGTCTTTGTTTCGGGGGGCAATCAACACACATTTTATTTTTGTTGGGTTTAATACGCCTCCTTTTAGTTTTTGTGACGACTGTATGAAATGTGAAATAAAGATGACTATGTACGATTAATGGCTGTTTAATTGCGAGCTTGATTGTCCCCAACAACAAAAAATAAAAGGCGAATGATGTGAATGAATAAATGTATGCGGTTATAGTCGGCAAATTGATTACTGTTTAGGACGCTTGTTATGTTTGTAATTTGAATGATTATCAACATATTTGTATAATTCCCACATCGCGATATTATTCTAGCGTCCTAATAATGGACAAAGGAATTATCTTTCTCTCCCGTCATTCATATTCACGCTATGCGTTGCCACAGCCTGAGCTTGGAAGAATATATATATTTGTCAGTAAAATCCTCCTTTTTTCTTCTTCTCCTCCCTTGACTTGGTTCTAATAAATTGAAGGTTTGCTTATTAGGGATAAGGAGGATAACATCAAACAAAAGATCTACTCAAGATGACGCTCTTTTCATTTCAACTCGCTGTTTGATAAAGTAGAGTTCTGTATGGAGCGAATACAAAAGAAAAGTTCGCTCTAAAGCCCCAGTCCCATATAAAGCCGGACGAGCACGGACGAGCACGGACCACTCCGGACCATCCCGGACCATGGTCTGGGGTGATCCGGGATGGTCCGGGATGTTTTGTTCAAAAAAGTGTCATGCTTTAAAAGCTACAGTCCCATATACGTCCCGGACCGTCCCGGACCATCCCGGAACCCATCCGGGGTGATCCGGGATTCGGTCCGTGTTGACACCGTGTTGGCACCGGGGTGGTCCTGGATGGTCCTGGATGGTCCTGGATGGTCCTGGGCGGTCAATAACTCACTCCCGGACTGCCACGGATCAACACGGACCACCCCGGCGCCACTACGGATGACCCCGGACCCAACACGGTGGCTACACGGATCACCCCGGATCAAACTTTTGTCCCGGACCGTCCCGGACCACCCCGGCAGTTTTTGACAGTCAAAAACATCCG